AACTAGTTTCAGTTCCTTGTAATAGGCCATTCGTACTTAATGCCCCCTCGTAATAGCCGTGAGAAGCCATCATGTACCTTCATCTGCGATCGTTCAGCAAGTCGCCCGCATGGCGTAAAAGCTATTTGTGATGGGGGGGACGCAACTGTAGACGGCGGTATGTGCGTGTGCTCAGCTGGCGGGGCTTGATTGATATCCAAGGCGATTTTCGGCACGCTTGAGCTGTGGATGTACATCGTTTGCGCTCGTTGTATGATTTCCTCATTCCGTTGACCTGTCATCACAGTTCGCTGCCCACTTTTCTGCGCCATGCTCCATGCATCGCGCATCGTTTCTTCTCGATGGCCCAGAAACCGCAATTCGTTTGTCGATCGATGGACCGTGACTCATTTTCCGATTGCCTATCTTCGCTTCTTCCCTTCTTGTGCCAGTTTTTCTTTCGGTGGATTTTTCTTTGAAGTTTTCCCGACAATTTTGTGATGATGTCATTGTAAAAACTTTTCTACCCGCCTAACGACCAATAATAACACACAAACGTTGTGCACGAGCCGAACGTCTCTTTTACAGCAAGTATACGTAATAAGTATAGGGCGTAGAACACATGGCTGAGCCGTTTCGTCTGCGTGATTCGGGAGTTGTGCTTCAAGGCTGACAGGAGGACGGCAAAGAACAGTTTTTACAGTCTCTACTTAAAGTATTTTTTCAAACGACGCTTATTACATGGTGGGGACGGTTCTCGTGTGATAGCAGACCTCGCGCCACAGATACCTTCTAAGTGTAGTCATTGCAAAAGTATTATTAAGCTCCATTCGGAATGGCAGCTACCTGAAGGCTGAGGGTTGAACAAGATCCAATATCCAGATCTTCATTCGCCATCGAAGGGCGGCCATCGGTTGTAACTTCTTTTCCATTGTCAAATGGGATCCATTAGGCATCAATCGGTTTTTGACTTGCCGAGATTTGCGATCCTGCGTTCAGACGGTTGACAATTCTCGACATGCCCTGTTCATGGACTAATATGGAGTATGCTTCCCACTGCCTTTCGTTGCGGGTTTGTGGTCAGGGTAGCTTTCTCATAGACGGCACCTCCTTAAAGGCGTAAGGAGTTCTGTCGGTACCTACTACAATTGTTTCCTTGACTGCTTGGTGTTGGAGCCAGATTATGAAGTGCAATATCAATATTTCCTTCAAAAATGTCACATTCTTTACAGATGGCTCAAAAGCCGAGATATGCGAAAAATTCAATGAAGAGCAGGTAAAAAATGGAATTCGTTGCATATATCGATGACCATATGAATGTATAAGTTGGGAAGCATTATTATGAAGGATTATTGAAATGTTGCCATCTTGCCATCATCAACAGAAACTTCTTTCTTGTCCGCAAGTCATCCTTCTTTCAGACGGATAGACGCTAGGGAATGATTTCATAATGCATTCTGTGGCAGTTAATGCAGATGGCGGTTCAGAATCGTTTATTTTTTCTTCGGTAGGCAGATGAACGGCTAAAAGGTATTTTATCGTGCTTTTTAGAGCATTAATACGAACAATCGCGTTTAATCCTTTTAGTCGGATTTAATCTGGGTGTATTTCTAGACTCCGCCTTAAAAATCATAGCTTTGTTGATCCTGTTTATTGTAGTCTCGTCGGATAATTGTCTATAAGGATCTTCTCGATTTGTGCAACGAGGAAGCCTAGGCTGGACCGAACTGTGGGGAACGTTTCTTTTTTAGGTGCAAATTAATTATCGTAGCTGCAAAATATTTGCTATTGAGCGTTTCATCTCTTACGGCATTTCACTGCAAAACAGACGGATTCAGTAACACAGTCTGAGGTGTATCCTTTTTATGTACGCTATCTGAGCGCGGAAAGTCAATTTCTGTTTTACACCGCTTTATGCACTAGTTGGATTGTTACTATAATCAGCAAGTCTGCGCTGAGTAGATGATAACCTACGTTGTATTTACCAGTAAGAAGATGAATCGTGAGTAGCACAGCCTCTTACATGCCGACCACGGGCAGGGGACAGGGTCACAGTGTAAGGCGGTCGGAAGGCAACGACAGT